GAAATAATTAGGTCATCAGAGCCAAGCCTGAAACATTCCAATAAATCTGAGCACATACAAAAAGAGAGGCGTGGGGGCTTGAAGGCCTTATCCACATTCAGATGCAACATTACCTCTAAATCTTCTCCACTGGCATTCTCCATTGACATGGTAGGGTTCTCTCCATTACACTTTATTCCTCAAACATCTTTCATCATCAAGGTGTATAAAATTACAAATGTCTAACAGTCTACTAGGGATATTATAGCTAATGTTAGATGAATATTAGCAGAAAGCAAAGAATACCAGAAGAATATCTATCTGTGCTTCATTGACTATGCAAAGGCTTTCGACTATGTGCATCACAACAAGCTGTGGCTGACTCTGAGAAGAATGGGAATCCCAGAACATTTGATTGTGCTAATGAGAAACTTGTACTTGGACCACGAGGCAGTTGTCAGAACAGAGCAAGGAGACACTACATGGTTCAAAATCAAGAAGGGGGTCCGTCAGGGATGTATTCTGTCTCCATACCTTTTCAATCTGTATGCAGAACAGATCATCCGAGACGCTGGGCTATACGAAGAGGAATGTAGCATCAGGACTGGTGGAAGAATCATCAACAACCTGCATTATGCAAATGACACAACCCTGCTTGCTGAAACTGAGGAGGACCTGAAGCGCTTGCTGCAGAAGATCAAGGACTGCAGCCTCCTATATGGACTGAAGCTCAACATCAAGAAAACAAAGATTCTAACCACTGGGCCAATTGGCAGCATCAGTATGGATGGTGAAGAGATTGAGGTAGTTAACAGTTTTAATTTACTTGGCTCCACAGTCAACACTCTTGGTAACAGCAGCCAGGAAATCAAAAGACGAATTACATTGGGAAAGTCGGCTGTGAGGGACCTCTCAAGAGTACTGAAGAGCAACGATGTCAGACTGGAGACTAAGGTGTGCCTGATCCAGGCTATAGTCTTCGCAATTACATGCTATGCATAAGAGAGTTGGACAGTGAATAGGGTTGATAGAAAGAGAACTGATGTCTTTGAGCTGTGGTGCTGGAGAAGAGTGTTGAATATACCAAGGACTGCTAGGAGAACAAACAGGTTCGTCCTGGAGAGGGTGAAGCCAGAATGTTCCCTGGAGTCAAGGATTCTGAAGCTTCGTCTCACATATTTTGGGCATGTTGCAAGGAGGGACTGGTCCTTGGAGAGGGACATCATGTTTGGCAGAGTGGAGGGGAGGCGAAGGAGAGGAAGACCTTTGGTGAGATGGATCGATTCTGTGACTGGAGCGGTGGGAATAAGTGCCTTTGAGATGGCTAGGTTGGCAAAGGATAAAACAGCATTTAGAGCTCTTGTACATAGGGTCACTATGAGTCGCAAGTGACTCGATGGCACATAACAACAGCAACAGTCTATATGGAAAACACGGGCAAACATGGATTATCACAAATTCTTTCTATCCTCCAATGCTAATAACTTTCATCAATATTCTCAATCCTTTTTATTTTAGGACATTGTTTTCATAGGTGACTGGATATTCTTTTTTTTTCTTTTTTCGATATTCTTCTACAAAAGGATTTTCAGAGGACAGCTGTATAATTATCAGTGCTCATTATCCTCAAAATATTAAAGGGCTACTCTGCACATTTGTTTCTATCATATGTGGAAAGAGTAAAGGAGAAAGAGCAAAGTAAAAAGTAGATGCTATAAAGTAAACTCACACAGAATTATTTCTAGATTTGTTGGAAATCCTTTGCTTTTTTTAGTGGAGAGAGCAAAGGTTTACTTAATTCTTTATTAAAGATTTGTTCTTATATTTTATAGAACGGGGGAACCCCAGAATTTAAACTTCTATTAAAAATCTAAACGAAAATAGTACCCTTAAAATACAATGGATTAGAGGAGTGGGGGGGGAATCATTGGACAAATTTGGGGCTTATCATTATCAACAGTGCCCTTTTAAGCTTGTGGATTTCTGAGCCAATGCAGAAAATGTAACAACAGGGATTTCCCAACAGCAAGAGGCACTCTCCAAGGGAGTAAATTGTCAACTATTGCCTCTCGTGAGAAACTTAAGAGTAACCTTGATCCAATCTCAATAGTCAACCCGTGTATTATCACCCAGTTGGGGCATAGTGAGTGCATTTCCTAATACAAAAATAAGATGGTATTCTATCAGAAGCCACTGGATACATATACAGAAATAAAATTTAAATAATTTTGAAGTAAACTTAGCCTAAGAAACTGAAAACATCATTCCCTCACTTTAACTAACCCCTAAAATATGTATATTCTCTCATGTAAAATGGCCTGTGTCTTGATACGAGTCTTAAAAAAGACCTTTCAGGAATGAAAGGTATAATATAAAGCAGAACAAATGTTATCAAAGATATACTGAAATATGACAAACAACATTAACACAGTTTTTAAAAAACCCACCCTTGTAACCAATCACTAGTTACAAGGGTTTTCCAAAATCTCAGCAAATTAGCACTATTTACACTTTATTCCCCATACTTCTTTAATTAACAAGAGATAATAATTCAAACCCAAATTCAAAACAGCCACATGCTGAATTGTATCTGAATCTCACTCATCTACAAAATGAGGATCTTATGAACAGGGATGTTATAACTTAAAGGAATGTTGTGGAGTTTAGATGAAATTATCCATTTGAAAGCTTCTAACACATCACTAATGCTTAATATAGGATTTATTCAAGTCTGTGGAATGGGGTTGCAAATAGAAGAATAGCTTTTGAACATCCTGGTGTTCATACAATTCAACCTGTACAGTCCTACACAGGAGACACTAGAAATGCACGAAATTTTACTAAATAACTTCAATCACAGAAAACAATTATTTACTGGAATGAGACAGAATTTTACATTTAATCTATTTTTTACCATTAGAGGCTGGTGGCCTCCTTAGTGGTAAAGAGTTGTACTGCAAATCCAAAAAGCCTACAGTTTAAATTCACCAGCTGCTCAGGAGGAGACAGATGGGCATTTTCCTCCCATCCTATTTACAGCCTCTGAGCCTCCTGTGGAGGATTAGCTATGAGTTGGTTCTGACTCAACGGCACATAACAACATTCTAATAGAAATTAAGGGGGAAAAACATGCCAATAATACTAAACTATATGCAGCTTATAAAAACTCAAAACCTACTACCATGGAGATGCTTCTGACTCATACAGACCCTCCACTGGGCCACAGATTTAAAGGAAGCGAAGTGCTTCATCTTCCCCTAGGTAGTAGCTGGTGGCTTTAAACCACTGAGCACACAGTTAACAGCCTAAAACATAGCACACAATACACTACGCCACCAGGGCTCCTTCAAATGACAATACTTCAAATAAGCTTGACTTCTGACCCATCTTTCTAAAGCCAATGATGCTTTACTGCACCTTTAACTGTAACTTCAGTCTTGACAGACTCCTAGAACTTTATACATCTCACTGCCTATTTAGTATGACTACCTGCAAATCAGTTACAGATCTCAAGCATATATCAAAGATAAAATTCTTCATCTCTCTCATTTATTTTTTATCTTAGTAAATGATCTCACTAGCTAAACAGCTAGAGGAAAAATAACAGAATCCTCCTAGAGTTCTTCCTTTTCCTCACATACCATTCCACTGGCAAATCCTGTACACTTTCAAAATGTTTCACAAATTCATCTCCACCAATACCATCAGCCAACAACACTACGATCTGTAACCAAAACTAACTTAATAAGTCTCCTAACTGGTTACCCAGCTGATTCTGGCCCCATTCAATCAAGGCTACTCCCCACCTACCCACTGCCACTGAGTCCATTTCAACTCACAGTAAAAAAGTGGTAAAACTTTACAGAAGCAGACTGCCTTTTCTCACCCCTATAGAGTGGGCTAGAACCAACTGGTGTTGACGTGAGAAGTAGACTATTTAACCACTATGTCACCAGGGCCCTTTGCTTTCTTCTCAGTTTCCTTCTCTGTTCAGATGCAACCATCACCTTGAAACCTTTCACTGACTTCTCCCTATCACTAGGGTCTTCTCACTGCTGATCTTTATGATTAAACTGATCTTTCTCCTGATCTACCTATAACTGGCTCCCTTACGTCACATCATCAAGGCCTCAGTCCTTACTATCTCTATAAAATTCTCTGTTGTAACACAATTTCTTTAATCACTTGTCCATTGATGGATCCCTGGGCTGTTTGCAACTATTTGCTACTATGAATAATGTTCCAATAAATACAAATTTTTTAAATGTAAAAAAAATTTAAAAATCTCTCTGTTCAATCTAAAATAAGTTATCTAAACATTCTTTAGTTCACCACTTGGACTCAACTATTTACAGAGCGTTTGTTATATTTTTTAGTCATTGTCATTTCTTTTTTTTATTTATTTGCAGTCTGTTTTCCCAATACATAATCCCCATATGAGAATATAAGGCCTCATGAGAGATTTTTCCCATGTTTTGCTGACCCTGTTATCCCAGGTGCTTAGAACAGTGTCTGGCATGTAAAAGATGCTGAATAGACACAGTGTGAAAAAAAACCCCAAAGTCAATGAGTACATTACTATTTAAGTGCTTATTAACCTCAAACTTAAGTCTTTCAAAAGTATATTTGAAGATGATAGTTAAGGGAACAAAGCTAGTGCTCTCCCACTACAACAAGTAGTTTAAAATACTGTCATCTCCTGATGTCTATGGAGTGTCTGTCCCAGGATCCTCTGCAAAAACCAAAAACCTTGGATCCTCAACTCTCTGATAAAATGGTGTAGTGTCTTTGTATAACCTACACACATCCTCCAATATCCAGTGTACATATAAAGACTAAGACAGTGCCAATCCTATACAAGTATACCTTCATACTTCCTTTAGCCTCTGTGGGATAGCTCTGACCATTAAATTGCTTCTTCTATCCCAGTTGTGGTTGGTTGGTTCCATGGACGTGGAACTTTCAAACACAAGAGTGCCAACTGTATTTTCCGAGATGTGAATGTTATGTACATCATTTACCTCCCTTCCTTTGTAAGTCACCAAAGCAGCCAGTGGTTTGGCGTAAAATCTGCTGTAGGAAAATCCCAAGCAGCCGTACATACTGTTCGCTGTGAGCTTCAGAGCCTTCTGTCGAATGTCATACTACACATACATACAGACAAAAGAAAAAAAAAATGTGCAGTTAGGCTATATGTCTTACTAGGTCACAGATGAGAGAGAAAATCCTCACCATCCCTGAAATGAAGTTTTTAACATAACTGAATCACCTTTCCAGATCCGTGGTGCCCTGATCTCTGAATGAGCAAGTTAAGATAGACTCCAAAGTTGCCAAAATGCAAAAAGAGCTTGCTCAGACTCAGCCTTTGCAGATCCAGCTGCCTTACATTCTAAGGCATAAAGAAAACCCTGGGGTACTCTTTACTACTACTCATCCACAAACCCAAAACAAGCACATGCATTTGGCCATAGCATTAAATTACCAATGCCAAATCATAGAGCTCTCAGTGAAAATACGTACCTGAAGAAAAAGGTCTGGATTTAAATCTTGTTGTTTCATTAGCTGTTTAACCTGTTTTCTCCGTTCGACCAGTTTCCGGATCTCTCTTGGCAAAATGCCCATTTCTAAGTTTGGATCTGGCAGCTCAGGGATCTGTTCTTGCTCTCCATCCTGATGAGCAAACAACAGAAATGACAGACAAATCAAATTTCTCAGAAATAAATGCCTAAAATGATATTCAGTGGGAGTCATATCCCATGAGCAAATCTTGAAAAACTGCTGCTCTGTATGCCATCAAATGGATTCCAACTTACAGTGACCCTAAAAGACCAAGGAGAACTGTCCCACAGGGTTCCTAACTTTGTAATCTTTACAAGAGCAGTTTTTAAGGTCGTTTCTCCTATAGAATTGCTGGTGGGTTTGAACCTATGGGTTAGCAGCCAAGCACTTAACCACTACACCAGGGCTTCTCGAAAAGCTCATTCTTATAAAAGTAAAGATCCACATGCATTGGTGGTATACCAGAGGTGGTTAAGAGAGGGTTGTAGAACAAGTTGACACTGTAAATTTCAGTATGATTCAAAAGGATGAATTTTTACACAATACAATAATTTCCTCTTGTCAGCAAGAATGGTGGAGCAACATGTTAAGGGAAATTGTTTTAAAAATAAAATAGAGAAATCATAGGATGTAAAAAAACAAAACAACAACAAAGAAGTGAAACTATTGCTTTAAATCATTTGTACTGTAAAAAAAAGCACAGAATTTTAAACTGCACAAATCATAGCAATTACTGTAAATGTTTCAGACTAAAAAATAAAAACCAAAATATCAAATAAGCAGATTCTGTTAAAAATCTGGAGAATATTTAAATAGGTCATGACATTTTAAAAAATTAATACATAGATATTCCTTAGCATTTATGTAGTAGCTTTTATCTATAAATTGCTTTGCAATCAGTAGAAGAATAGCAACACTTTAGAAAAGCAACCAGTAGACTTCTTACATTAAGATTTACAGCAGGAAAAAGCAGGGAAAGCATTAGACTATTTTTCTTAAGCCTCCATTAATTCTATTAACAGGCTGCAAAGAAAAGCCAGGCATATTTGCCCTTTCAAAGGTTCAGAATTAAAAAGAAACTGTTTGGCTTAAAGCATGTCAACTCAATGCCTCTTGATAAGCCAGTCTTTACAAAGTACAGGTATCCCCTGCTTTTTGAACGTTTGCTTTATGCCACTTTGCATTTACGAAAGATCTATGTTAGTACCTATTTTCATCAACCAAAAAGAAATCAGAAGATTTTGGATTTTACAGAGCGACAGCGGGGGGAAGAGTGCAAGCTGAAGCCTGCAGTCAGTGTCTGTGCTGCAGGAAAGTATTAAAATGGCAGCATACCCCGCCAAATTGCGAGAGCTTCAAGAGTTGTGGCAGCAAGCTCCATCAAGGACCTACACTCAGCACCTCCGCAGCAAGCTGCCGTCGCTTTGAACTGTGTCTTTGAGCACCACGTTAGGGCCACTCTGGGTCAGTCATGTTATTTGGTACTGTTTGGGAGGTTCTTTTTTTTGAGCCTGAAAATGTTTAAATATAGTCACTGGTTCCTCATTTTACGCCATTTCATAGGAACAGTCATTTAGACAATGAGGGATAACCTTCAAATGAGCGATATCATACAAGTAATAGGGATCTGCTGTTTCCCAATAGAGCAGATAATAAGAAAAAAAATCTCTTTAGTATGTATTCTAATTATTTATATCCACTACTGAAATCAAGTAAAAAGTAAATGGAAAAGGTATACAGTCAGGAATTTACAATTCTTTCCCGGCTCTATTGTCACAGGTCACAGGATGTCTAAATGAGGCAGTGCAAATGAATGATACAGAAACTATCAAGTTCTATTTGTACAGAATGTCTTTGATGAGCCAACTGATCCAACTGTTAATCCAGAATTCAAATGGGAAAGCTCAAATAAATAACCTGGGGAAAGACTGGGGAGGCCAGGTCATGATCATGATCACACAGCAGGTGTAGTAAGGGCAAAACCTACAGAATACACAAATACTTAAAGAAAGCAAATGCTGTCATGACCTTTGGGGATGTCTACCCAGCACCTCCTCTGCGAAATTACCCTCTAGTCCCACAGGAAATCCCCTCTGCAACCATATTTGTCCTCTGTGAACCCACTCATGTGGTCATGGCTGACAGGACAAGGGATGTCATGTGCACAAGTCCAACAGACTCTCTTCTGGAAACACAGAATTGAGGCTGTAAAACAACTCTGAAGAAAGGACAGAAAGAATTGTTCTAAGGGAATATATGAGTAAGCATTATCTTTTTGACAACAATCCAGAGTAAGAGGTGTGCACAGCAAAGTGAACTGGGGGAGGGGAGAAAATTAAGCAACAATGAATGAATTTTTTTTCTTAAGTGAACTCGAGGGTAGGGAGGAAAATATGCAACCACGAATGAATAAAAATCCAACTTTTCTGTAAACTTTCATTAAAATCACAATTACCAAAATTTCAAAAAGGACTGAGACTAAAAGATGTGGAAATTGAGGAACTAGAGAACAAAAGCTAGAACTAGAGTGGCTCTGGTGGTCTAGTGGCAAGGAGCTGTTCTATAGATCTAAAGGCACATGGTTTAAATACAGCAGCTGCTCTGAAAGAGAAAGATGGACAAGCACTATAAACAGTGAGGGGTCACATGGCTCATAGACAGAAGTGGGTACTTTAGGAAATGATCTTATCCTTTTCAAAATTAAGTTTAAAATGCGCTTTCCATGCGAACTAGCAAATTCACCATCTAGGTATTTATTCAAGAGGAAGTATAAATTCATAGGAAATTTCACAAGGATATTCACCAAAATTTACAAAAAAAAAAACAAAAACCCAACCCCATGAAACTTACAAAAGGGAAAGAACTACTGGTAATGTAACAACATGGATGAATTACAGAAGTGTATTATGAGCAAAAAATACATACTCTATCACTCCATACAGATGAAGTTCTGTTAACAAGCAAAATTAAGCAACAGTGACAAAAGGTCAGACCAACAACTGAATGGAGAGAGGAAACTGACTGAAAAAAGTCATTAGGAAATTAGAAAAATTTAAGGGATAAAATTAATAAAGCGCTTGAAGGACAATATATTGATGAAATGTTTGCTTCAAAAGAAGACAACAGCTGGCGAGCTCTGGTGGCCTAGTGGCAAGAAGCTGCACTGCAATCCCAAAAGTGAGCAGTTAAGAGTCCACAAGATGCTCTGCTGGAGAAGGAGGGGCAATCTCCTCCTGTACCAGTCAGATCTGTTTTGAAGTACACACACAAAAAAATAATAAAATTTAGGGAGCTCTGGTGGCCTAGTGGCAGGAAGCTGCAATACAATCCCAGAGGTGTGTGGTTCAAATCAACCAGATGCTCTGCTGGAGAAGGAGGGACAATCTCCTCCTGTACTAGTCAGATCCGATTTGACAGTACATGCACAAAAAATAATAAAATTAATAAAATAAAATTTTAAAAAAAGAAGATGGCAGCCATCGAATCGGTAACATAATCTTCTATCCAAGAAACTAGAAAATTAAGAGCAACCAACACAAAAGCAGAAAAAAATTAAAAAATACAAAGCAGGGGGGGAAGCCAAATAAAAGAAAAATCAATAAAATCAAACTTGATTACTTGAATATTAAAAAAAATCAACAAACTTTTAACTGTTGTTGTTATGTGCCGCTGAGTCACTTGCGACTCATAGCGACCCTATATACAACATTCCTAAACTCTGCTGTCCTGTGCCAATCGCACTGTCTCTGACACTCCCATCCCGATTATCCCAGTCACTGAATCAATCCAGCTCATAGAGGGCCTTCTCCTCCTGCGCTGTCCCTCCACCCTCCCAAGCATGATGTCCCTCTCCAAGGACCAGTCCCTCCTCACAACATGTCCAAAGTATGTTAGACAGAGTCTCAGAATCCTTGCCTCCAAGGAGCTGGCCGGCTTAACCCTTTCCAGGATGAATGTTTGTTTTCCTGGCAGTTCATGGTACCCTCAATACTATTCTCCAGCACCACAGCTAGAAGGCATCAACTCTCCTTCTATGTTCCTTAGACATTGTCCAGCTCTCTGATGCATAACAAGTGATTGCAAAGACCATGGCCTGTATCAGACGCACCTTAGTCTCCAGAGAGAGACCATGCTCTTCAGTACTTCGGAGAGGTCCCTAACAGCAGACTTTCCCATGGCAATGCGCCTTTTAAATTTCCTGGCTACTGGTGCCATCGTATTGCAATGGGAACTCTTAACTAGACTGACTAAAATAATTAAATTACTAAAATCAGGAGTAAGTGAGGAGACAGCACTACAGATCTCACAGAAAGAAAAAGACATAGCTTAGCAGAAAGCAGACTATCAAAAAGATATCTATTTAGGTTTTATTGACTATAGAAAGCCTGAATAGATCAAATAAAAAAGATGGTGAATAAATTATTGGTAATACTGAAAATAAGAGGAATTTAAAAAACTTAACTGTGTTCATACAGAACCTATACAAGTCACTAACAAGACTAAAATCCACGTGACTGAAGCCATGGCATTTTCAAATACTCCATGTGCTTATAAAAGCTGCACAATGAATAAAGAAGTCAAACAAAGACTTAGGGGCTTTAAATGGTTGGGTGGGCAATGTATGTTGAATGTCATAAGAACAAAGGATGAGCATTTAAAAAAGGAGAGTTTGACAATTCCTTTTATAATAGCATAAAACATTTAGAAAACAATTCATGCACTGCAATCCCAGAAGACAGCAGTTCAAATCCACCAGATGCTCTGCTGGAGAAGGAGGGACAATCTTCTCCTGTACCAGTCAGATCCAATTTGACGGTACACACACAACAAAAATAAAAATTAAAAAAAGAAAACAATTCAATAAAAAAAGTTTAAGAATCATACATACAAAACTATAAAACATGCTGAAAGAAATGAGACTATATATAAATGAAATGACAACTCATGGTAAGACATATGATGCCATTTGTTAGATGCCAATATTCTCTAAATTGATACACAGAATCAGTAAAATTTCTATCAAACTCCCAATTGGCCTCTTTTAAAGAAACTGACAAGTAATTCCTAAAATAACATATGGTAGTGCAATTATACAACGCAAGAATATTTAGCAGTAAAAAGGAACAAAATACTGATACATGCTACAATATGGGTAAAGCCAAGACAGAACGAATACTATGTGAGATAAACCAAAAGCAGTAGGCCTTATATTGTAAAATTTCATTTATTTGAATCGTCCTGAACAGAGAAATCTTTAGGTGATAGAGGGAGATCAAAGGTGAGACGACATCTAAAGGGTAGAGTGTTTCTTTTGGGATGATGAAATGTTCTACAACTGAATGTGGTGATGACTGAAACTAGGAATAGACTTAAAAAAAGCCACTGAATTTAAATGGGTGGTTGGATGGTAAGTGAATTTTATCTCTTTATATAGATATAAAAACTGGCAAAGGAGCAGTTTTTGTCTCCTATCCAATACTTTTATTTCCTATAGACCTCTCAGAAAGGATATGATTGAATGTATTCTTAAATGGGAAGACTAGAAGGCTAACTCTTGGTTCTCCTCCTTTATAAGCACTCCTTTTGACTTCAATTTAAAGAGCCCCAGTTGAGAACAAACCTCTGTCATTTTCTCTGCCTCTGAAGCAACTCTTTGCACTGTTGTAAAGCATATGTTAAATTCTTGAATGATGGAAGGATATAAACTGTTGAAGTCCAGAAGCAAAATGAACTTATCATAAAAACCTGTGGAAGAAAAAGCACATTTCAAAAAAAAGGCTAAAGAAGGAACAGATTGGACAAAATATTCAATTAGAAATATACAATGACGTATGTTAGAAATTATCCACAGCCAAGAGGTATTCAAAAGAAGTTAAGACACTGCTACCATTCCATGAAATAATATGGTTTAAAGTGAAAATCCAAGTCACATATACATAAATGTCATTAGCGGAACGATCCATCCTTTTTACTTGCAAAGGATGAACAGAAAACTACTTTATTTCTATAGGACATTTAGAAAGAGTTCTCTTCACTTTAAGAAGAAACTTAATAAAAATAAATGTCCATCACTAAATATCAACAGCAAACATACTGAAAGTTTACTCTGTGTCAGACATACTAAACAACTACCGTTAAAAAATAAACTTTTTTTCCCCAATCTCTACAGGGTCAGTAGTATCCTATCTCTATTATATAGAGGAAGATACTAAGGCCTAGAGAAGCTAAGCTGGCAGTAGAAAAATCACACAGCTGGGATTTAATCCCAGATCCATCGAACACCAAATTACTATATACCACATGCCATTACATAATAAAACTGCCGTTTGTCAAAAAAAAGTTCCCTCCTCAGACTTCAAGTCACTTGATTAAAAAAAAAAATCTTATTTACTGCATGCCATGATTTTCACAACAAAAGATAAATTAAGGTCATTATAAAGTGTTTTTCTAATAAAATCTTTTCCTTTAATTGTGATTTTAATGTGTTTAAAGAGAAGATTTTCAAGCATTCACTGTTGAACATTTTACCCCTTCCTCTCCCTAGTTCACTATTTTTTTTAATATCCATTCATTGTACAATTACAACACACACACCCCACTCAAGTCCTCTGCAATGTACCTCTTATTTTGGGCTGTTGTAGTACATATAATGCCGAATCATATTCATTTTAGACAGTTCTTTCCTTCATTTGTTCCAATGCCATGGTCATTATATATCTACTCTTATGCTCCTCCCAATCCCCCATGTCAGACCTGCTTTATAACAATGGTAATATCCAATATTTATCTTTTTGTAACTGAGATATTTCACTCAGCCTTCTAGGGTTACTCATGATGTGTAATGTTTTACAAATTCCTTGTTTTTTCAATGCTGCGTAGTGTAGAGTTCCATTGTGTGCCTTTACGATAGTTTTTCTCTCCACTCGTTTGTTATGCTTCCATCTCTTCGCTATTGTAAATAATGCAGCAATAAACATGGGTGTGTGCATATACTTTGGATGCTGGTTTTGGATTCTTTAGGTTATATTCTCAGTAGTGGCATTGCTGGTTCAAATGGTATCATTTGTATTTCCAACTCATTATAAAATCATTTTGCTAACCTGTAAGACAATCAAGGCTTTCCAGCTTCTCAAGCATAGGTCTACTACACTAAGAAATTCCTTAGGACCAAGGCAAACCAATTTGCTTCCAATCTTACCAACTTTGGGGTCCAATACCAAGCCTCCAGCATAAGCAGCTTTCTTCCGTCCCCTCTTTTGTTTACTAGGATCTCCATCAATTTCTTCATCTTCTTCTCCCTAATATCAAAGAGAAAGACATCACCACTCACCCTTTTCCAATTTCAGTTCTAACAAACATTACTGTTAGTTAATGTTTCTAATCATTGCCAAAAATTATAATGTGTTCATGAATATAAGTGAATGTCAAACATGGGAGCTACTTGAAAATACTATATCACAGAGTTACTTTTTCTCCCCTAATTTGTGGGTATGGTGACGCTTTGACATTGTGATAATACACAATGTCTATTCTTAAATGTTTCCAAATATGCACAAAACTTTTGCATATTTAATCAATTGATACCAAAAGCACAACTTATCATATTACCTAAAATTTTAGAATGTAGAAAGTCTTAAGTTCAATACACATATTCAAGACATAAATTATTCCATATAGGTATTTTCAACAATATCAACATTTTTAACATGGACAGCTTACAGGATAGCCATAAACTGAAAATGTTCTTCCCAAGTAGTTTATTAATGACCATTGGTCAATATTTCAGCATCAAGTAGATTCCTTTAAATTAGTATATTCTGTACCAATTTTGATAATGTAAGTATATATAAGACCCTGGTTAACAATTTAACATTAAACTCCCATTCTATATCAGTTACTATCAGTGCTAGTAAAATAGTGCTAAATAGATATTATCATCTAGGCTAAATCCAAAACCAAGCTGTGCAGACCATAATCACAATAAACCAAAAACAAACCCAGTGCCATCAAGTTGATTAATAGTCAAGCCAATCCTCTGTGCCATCTCCAAGGCTGTAAATCTTAACGAGCAGAATGACTCATCTTTCTTCCACTGAGTGGCTAGTAATTCTAACTGCCAACCTTTCAGTTAGCAGTCCAACATGGACTATGCCACTGTCACCAAGTCAATTCTGACTCCTATCAACCTCCACTGTGATTCTTTACAGGAAAAGATTGCTTTTTCCCACTGAGAAGGTGGAAGATTCGAATCACTGACCTTTATATTAACAGTCTGACATTATATACTATGGCACAAAGGCTCCTCAATAATAATATTTTCTTTCTCACAAATTACATAGAAGCAGAATGCTCTTTTTTCGCTCTTGGAGCAGCTGATAGATTTTTTTTTTTCCGCTGATAGATTTGAACTGTCTTGGAATGGCAATACAACTCCCTACCAATTAGGCCACCATAAAAATGCAATACAAAAATAAAGTATTCATGAAATAGAAGAGATTAACTGGCATTTAAATTTGGGTAGGGGGTAAAGTAACAAAACATTTGACATGTACAGTGACTCATGAGAGAAGCCTAACGTATCCCTCCAAAGTCTTCATACTTCACAAATATTATCCACAGAGAGGAATAAACGTGAAACCATTTCTATAGTTTCTACAGTATAAAGGCGATTAATTATTTTGGAAGCAGATGTTATCACAGCAAAGAACTGCTATCTAAGAAATAAAAAGGGAAGGAGGGGATAAGAAAAGGAAAAATACAAACGATATAATTTTGGACCCACCACTTTTTGCTGAGGCTTTCTGAAAATCTGCTTATCGGGCACAATATAGTTGTTTTCATAAAATGCATGAAGCAACAAGAACTCATTACGCTCCGATCGTCCACCCATCAGCGTCCTGGACTAGTAAACAGAATTCCTTTTTTAATAGTGCACTCAAATCCAAAACAAACAAAAAGAAACTGTAAGCGGTGATTTTATTCATAGCACCTCTTTAAAAACTACTCCTAATAACAAGAACTGTTTTTGGTTTGTTGTGTTTTGTGGGTTGTTATTTTTTTAAAAAAAATAGTATTAAGCAATTTATAACACTATCTTTAAGTATCATCGTTGTAAAGAAGACAAAGAGAGCTTCCAAGATTGACAACGTGGCTATTTCTTTATTCCCAAATGGACCATTCCATAAAACAGACACATCCAGATGTTTAGAGCAATAATCCTAATGTTCACCCAAATTTCAACACATTGCACCTGGCATTCCTCCCCTTCTCCCAACCAGTTCTTCCTTTTACAAAAGAAGCCCAGCTTTCAGAATACAAGTTACTCATTTTATAAGCATGCATTTAAACTCATTATCATATAACAACTACCCCAAGTAAACACTGAATCCAACAGGAAATGCTTTCTCCCCCTAAGTTAAATTTACCATAACGTTCCCAGCGATGTTAGTGATCTGCAATGCTAATGGCAGAACATTTAGCTCACACATGATCTGCAAAATGAACTTGGCATCTTTCCAGGTGTGTTCCAACAGGTACAGGAGATGAGAAGATTCACTGTACAGAGATGTAAGAATAAAAAAGAGAATCAAGTAATTAAAATGACTACAATCAGAATTTCTTTAAAACACTGCAAAGAATTTTTGTATTGTGTAATTTTAGGGAAACAGCACCCCAGTTATTAGAACAAAATAAAGTCAGCAGTTGTCTATGAAGTCATTAATACCACTGATTCCAATGCCCTTCTCCAAAACTCACCCACTTCTGATGAGTCAATTCTGACTTACCACAACCTACCATCACGTTTCTGCAGCTGTAAATGTTTAAGGGAAGCGATTCTCCAAAACACACACACACACACACACACACAAACATAGCTTAAATCAAGTTATATGTCAATTATAAACCTGAAAGCTACCTAAATGCTTTTGCTCTTTCCATGCAACAAAGATGACTAACACGTGTCAAGCACTGCTACAGGCCCTAGCTGTGACCAAAACATATCCCTGTCCTCAAAGAGTCTATGTCCAAATGTCTGCCTTCCCCGTTAAGAGTACAAAACTAGCATTCTTGTCCATTTCCAAACTGCACTAAGGAAGTAAAGAGATGGTGCTAAGAGAAGTGAGAGAGACATATTTCGAGAGGCAGGAGAGTTACCAAGGTAATGGAGATGGGTTTCCTTCTTTTTCTCTTCCAGTAGAGCTACCCACTACTGTTCCATCAGCCCCAAGATTGATGGGCCTGGCTGCTGCTAATGAAGACAGGGAAAATATGACACACTACTGATCATACCTGTACATGTTCTGCACATTCTCCATTGGGATTGCAACCCTTTCTGTCTTCAGAATCTGTTGAACCAGTTCCGACAAATGGTAGCTTTTACAACGAATCAACTCCTTCGCTGAAATTTCCACATCACAGAGCAGTCGACCACAAGTAGCATTCCTTTCACCAAATCCACTCCTGCCCTACAAGGAGGGACACACAGTAAGTATGAAAACGCAGACATGAGAACATCCCGTTTTGCTATCTGAAGCCAAGCCAGAACTGACACTTCTATTTAATTTTTTTTATTCATTCATTCATCAAATATTTCTGAACACTTATTAACGCTGGCACTCCTCAAGAAATTCAGAATACTGTGTAGCAGTAAGAAAAAGAGAAAAAAAAGAGTTCTGATCTCTTATTTTTTCAGCCCACAAGTCCAAATGGCAGATCTCTTTTGAGGTGTATTAAGAACATAAAGATGGTAAACTTAAGTCTTAGCTTGTATGGATATGTTATTAAGAGGGGACAGTCCTTGGAAAGGGACATCATGCTTGGAAGGATAGAGAGTCAGTAAAAGAGAGGAGGATCCTCAACGAGACAGACTGACAGTTACTGTAACAATGGGCTCAAGTGCATCAGAGATGAACAGCACAGGAGAGGGAAGGATTCATGGGGTTACTATTGAGTTATAATTGACTGGATGGCATCTAACAACAACAAAATCATGAAGTTGAAATGTTGTTGTTTTAGAAACTGATAAAAATATAGGGGAAAAAATGTAATTTTAGCTCTTTTTCCAAATGTGACAAGGAGTCAAGGAGACATCACAGAGAAGATGCCATATAACAAAAGCCTTCTGAGAAAGAAAGCATTAGCCAAGCAAATGCTCAGCTAAAGTTAGTAATAATTCTTCCCTTCAAACATATATATAGCAGAGGAAGCTAGAACAGGGGTCCCAACTCTCATTAGTAGCAGAAGAATCCTCTGGCGTCCGTTACCAAAGGCACAGATTCCTTGGGTACTCGGAGGAATCCAATTCAGGTCCTAGGGTAGGAAGAGGGAGTGTGTTTTACAAAGCTTCCCCAGTGCAGCCACACTGAGCAGTCACTGGGAATGACAGCACAGGTGACGTCCACAGGCTGATCCCTGTTCTGCAAACTAGTTGGCCCCAGTTGGTCTTTACTGGTTTTGAGAAAAGAGGTTCAGAGATTTAAATGGCAATTTTACATGGCCACAACTACCAGCTGCTCCGCTGCAGAAAGAGGGGCAATCTCCTCCTGTGCCAGTCGGATCTGATTCGACGAGACACAAGGAAAAAAAAATACAATAAAGTATAAACCAGTTTGGTTGTTGAGACAGCTGACACAGCCCGTCACTGTACGTATGGTATTCAGGCACAATATGCCTACATAATGGTGCTACAAGTAGATGATGAAAACTGGCCCTTTACCACTGATAATTTGAGGATCTGCATTTGAATGGGTGAAATTATTCAGTCCATCCCTATAAGGTAGATATTATTCTTAGCTTCATTTTACAGAAGTTAAAAACTGAAGCACACAATGGTTCACAGCAGTCCAAACCTAGGCTATTTAGCCCTAAAGTCTACTGTGAACCACTATACTATGCTACTACCCTCCGAAAGCAAGCTCCTGAGACTGAGGTGGATTGTGTACAATTGTCAATGAGACTATTTCATGGCCAACAGCTGAAGTCTGGTTTGTGAAATTTATTCTTTCCCTCAAAAACAAAATAACATTCAGAGATTTTCACAGACTAAGTACACTAGATTATTTGCCCTAAATAGCTACCTTTTCTCACAAACATCAAAACCTACCTTCCCACATCTCTGGCCCAGGGGACTTTCCCATGCTATCTTGTATACCTAATTTTGACAATGAAGCAAGCTGGTAAGCCTTTGATGTGTACCTAGCAAATACAATCATAACAACAGTTTCAGTAAATTCTAATGATCTGCAAACAATGTTAACTTTGCTTCCTCCTTCCCAATAACACACACACAAACAAACTCAGGCTCTTCTACTTCCCTTTTTGATTTCTATCATCAGGGGCCACAGGGGTGGCTCCGACTCATAGAGACCCACCCTACCTGTGCACAGCAGATAGAAACCCTGCACGATCCTTAATAGCTGCTGTACTTGAGCCCGTGATTGCACGTCTCTATTACATAAGCCAAAACATCCAGAACAATGTTAATAATAGTGATAGCAGTAAACCTGGATGTAGTCCCAATTTCTATGGGAATGACTCTAGTGTTTCCTGGTACAGTGTTGTTCATTTACTAGAGACATTTACTGTACTGCTTGCTATGTTCAAGAATTATCCTATTTCTACCTTTTAAGATTTTTCTTTCTGAAATTAGCACAAGGGTTGTGCTGTACTAAATACCTTTTCCTCATCTATAGTAAAATCATCTTTCTTATTTGAAGCAAAAATAGAATCACATGAAAACGTTTTCTAATATGAAATTAACTTGGCCTTCCCAAAATTGATCAATCTACAACAGCAACCAAAATATTTAGCAAGTTCCTGCTAATTAATTCTGGGAAACATTTCTAAGAAAGGGCACTGGGGTTTTTTTCCCTCCTAGCTATAAAGAGAAATACTGAGGAAAAGTAGACAAAAGCATTTATATGTGTTCAGTATGTTACCTACCAGCATTGTGTCAAAAATCTTCGAGATTTAGCTCTCATAATCCTTACAAATTCCACAATGAAGACGTATCTCCATTTTACAGAAAGACAAATTAAGGCACAGAGAGGTAATGAAAGGCCATATAATTAGAAGTACAACAGCTGGGATCAAATTCAAGCCTGATTCCAAATTTTGAAGCTCTAGCCATTTTTCTCTCTTATGTCATGAATATGCAAATAGCAAGGCAAGAAGCAAAGGAGAAGGCACAATGTATTAAGGTAGCAAGAAGTAAGATAGTGGAAACCAATGTTTCAATCAAATTGGGTTGGAAAGGAAACAACTTCCCAGTCGTTACAGCACTGTGGCTTGAAAAATAAATTAATACATCTCAAAAGGAATTTTTTTTCATGTAAGTTCCAGTGCCAAGAAACATTTTACATAAAAATCCAAAGCCTCTAACAAATTAGAGGGGTTGTGGCACATTTTAGAAATGGGAACATTCATAGCAATGTCCACAGCATAGAATTAGGCCAAAAAGGTTTCCTGATGAGGCAACATGCCTATTTCATTTATATGCTTTGTGTAAAGTAAGTTTTTCAACCACTGAGTGAATGTGCTTCCTTCCTGCAAAAGCACTAAAACCTCCATATATAAGTTCATAGAATGAAAAGGGTATGAGTCAGATGGGCTTGGGTTCAAATTCTACCTCCTATTAGTTACATAATTTTAATATTGTTGTATGCCTGTAAAATAAAATTGAGGTTTCTGTGAGGAGTGCCTGACACATCAACTGCTCAAGTCACTGCTGCCTTTGACATTCAATGTCTGTTCCCTTCCATTTTCCCCTGAATAACATTCAAGGATTTTTTAATCATGGAGTCCTGCTGTAAGGGCTATCACTTCAGCAATGCACTGTGGAAGCTATATGCATGTGGTCTCTCTCCATAGTTATTAAATTCTAACCAATAGCTTTTACAAATAAAATGTTGGATTCTAAAATGCAAAAAAAAGTGATGAGTGCCAAAGATAAAAATGTCCTTAAGCTCTAGTACTAGACAACCAATTCCAATTCAGAAAAGCTTAGTATGTGCTCCAAGAGCTACTACATATGAAAAAGTCAAATAAAGAAATAAGATTTTGAAAATTATTATTACCCCAAGCTTTGGCATGTTGCATCGCTTCAGTCGACCGATCTTGGACCAGTAAGGAACTTTGCACACATTAATTCTCTGCAGTAGCACTTCCAGATCAAACCCATAAATATTATGACCCTAGTCAGAAAAAGAAGGCAGCCAATAATGTTATAACAAACACAAATTAGAGGATTTATCTTCATATGCATAGAATTTCTTTGCCCTTTCTTTTTTTCTGGTCTCTAATTGATGGCATCACGAGCTTACCTCCGATTGGGGGTCCTTTTTTCTTCAGGAATTTATTCATCAGCAGCATTCATTAGCCTTGACATTAACAAGCCTGCTAAGCAGATTGCTGGAATAAACTTTATTTCATCCTAATTGATGCAAGGTTCATAGGATGTCTTCTAATTTGCAGCTCATGCCTCAGTCTCAGAGACAAATACAAATTTTAATATCCCATCCTTTTTATGTGATCAGGAAAGGCCATATTCAAACAACTGCATTTTGCTTTCCTTAAAACAGAACCCACCAGTGTCGTGTGACGGTACATATAAAACTTCTTTAAAAACTCAGGAATTACATCTAGTTTCTTCTTAAAGAATGGAACACAAACAAAACTGATTTAGACTTTTAATCAATGTGTAAAAAAAATGAAATGTGCAAAAAGAAATTATCATGAATAGTTGAAAAAAACCTTGATAAAAATAAGGAAATAAAACTATATATAAAGTGGAAAACAAAATATGTAACTTCATTTTTTATTTCTTTAATAATTTATCACATAAATAATGTGGTTCATATGCCTTTAATTTTTTTAAGGAAATAAAAAAATAGATCAATAAATTTATTAAATTCCATTATTACCTTTAATTAAAAATATATAAACCACTCTTACGGGGGGGGTATATATATGTATTTCAAAGACTTGAAACATATACCAAGGTTCACTGACGTATTCTTCAGACACAAAAAGTAACCAAGTGTCCAACAAGATGAATGGATAGAGGAATATTACTCAGCTATAAAGAAAAACGACATTCTGATGCATGTCACAACATAAGTAAACTCTGAAAACATGTCCAATGAATTAAATCAGACACAAAACGAAAATTATTTTGTTTGCTCTAATCAACACCTTAGCGCATATGTACCCACGTATCCTAGAACTATATAGACAAAAGGTTATTAGTGGCTATCAGCAGCTCAGGGAAGGTTGAAGTAGTTATTAAGGGGAAGTTAATTGGTTTAGGATCCTGACACACAGAATTGGCTCTCACACCCTAACCCTAATCTGAGGTACCGGAGCATCTCCTTGTGGTTCAAGGTAGAGAATGGTACTGGAGGCTAAGAAAAGACCTGGTGTTAAGCCAGAGCAACAATTACAGCATTACGGATAAAAGTCGTCTTGGCATTTCACAGGTGAGTCCTGAAACAGTAGAAAGTGAGTGGCAGACACACTGATAACAATAGATGATGGACTTTCTTGGTATTTTAGTACCATCATCATCAGACAAGATACCCAACAGCAAAAGGGAACACGGAGAAGGATGTGACAGAACATTTTTGCAAGGCTTCAGTCTAAAAAAATTACTAATTACATTTAAAATATAGCTATTTCTAGCCTATTTGCCTTAACCTCCTACCATTTGATCCATTAACCTATAAAAAATGACAAAAGGAAAAATGCTTATCAAGGAAACTACAGGCAGTCGGAAGAAATAAAAAAGCAATATGCTGCATCATGACTCTTAAGAGCAAATATAAAGACCACATGCAGTGAATTATTTATTCTCACTATCTGGTAGAAGCAAACTCTCAAAAAATATGGAAAAAGGTTTAATGAACTTAAAAATTTGAATACTTAAAATTTTCTGATTTGCACCACACTAAGGGTATTAACCCCTGTGACCATCATACAACATGTCTACAATGGCAACATTTTATAGGTACCAACAGTTTATACACTTTTACTTCATTTTTTAAAAACTATTACTTTTGTTTTAAATTTTCTGATTTGCACCACACTAAGGGTATTAACCCTTGTGACCATCATACAACATGTCTACAATGGCAACATTTTATAGGTACCAAGAGTTTATACAATTTTACTTCTTTTAAAAAACTATTACTTTTGTTTTATTGTTGCACATTTTCTTCCTCTCCCTTCCCCAACCCATCCTGCAATGCACCCCTTGCTACAGATTGTTCTCATACAGGTATATATTCCTTTTGCATAGTTCTTCCCCCTCATCTATTCTAATGCACTGTTCATTATCTATCTATTCTTCCCATTCTCTCCTTATCCCTCTCATGTGTCCTATTTTATAACTGCGGTTATACACATTTATTTGTTTATATGCAGTTTCTAAGTGTAAATGAACTGGAGAAGTCAAAAATAATTCATGGACTGCTTTGATATTAGAAGGGGGGGGAAATCCTATCTTTCGGTGAGTTTTCTTTTCCCATTAGCAGAAACTGTTGCGATTCCTACTAGTCTAGAGTTTTATTTCACTCAGAGAAGACTCTTTACTCTTCAGAAGTACCAATAAAGTCACGCTAAAAAACAGCTTTCCCACAATAAGATCAAGCATCTACTCACCACAATGACATCAGGATCAATTTTGTGAATCTTTGCAAGGAAAAAACCTAGCAGTGTTCTTTCTGTTGCGGCAACTTCAACCTTCACATTCTGTTAGATAAAAAGCAGACCAGGCACTCACTCTTCACTCTCAAGTGCTATAGCTAGGCACTTTTTTCGAACTGGGGTTAAAATTCTTAGGACTAAAACATTTAAAAAGGCACAAAACCCTCAATCCATTTCAGTTACATGGTAACTAAATGCACCAGTGAAATTCCTCATTCTAGGCTTCACAGTAATAACTGCACATGTCTCTGAGGAGCTCATTCCAGCAATAAGCATGTGAATGAAGCAAAATTTTAAGTGCAGAATGATAACAAGTACAGAAATGTCCTTCCACAGGGACGTGTTTGTGTACCTGGACATGTTTTATGGCTATGGATCAGAGTACCTATACAAATATTACTTTATTTTCCTATACAATCCCTAGCACATTTGTTTATATATTTAATCACAAAGTAATCCCAAGGATGGCAGAAATTACTCTTAAACAGTGGTTCAAAAAGCTGTAAATTAGAAACTAGACTATAAACAGAGACATTTAAGAACTCCAAATGTCTTAAGCATAGATAAAATATATCCTCATACAAAAGACTTCCAGCTGGATTACTGAATATAAATCAGACATTCAAACAGTTCACTCTTTATCTCTTGAAATAAGTTAATGGTGATATGCTTTCTTCAACTAACTCAATTGAAAACGTATCAATTTGATCTAATGGCATTTTGCTAGGTCTTCTCTCTTTTCTCTGATCAGCAATTTAGAGCATTATCACAAATAAAAGACTGCTCCTCCAGTTCCCACAAGTCTAAGTCTCCATGACTACTGGGCTTCTTAAGCCAATTTAAAATAAGTAGAAACAAAGACGGTTGCTAAATTTTATCACGTAAGACCATTAAGTAAGAATTTCGACACAATGACTATATTTGCCCTTGTGAAAAACTCACTATATTACACAACTTATTCTTTTTATTTAATCAAGACCCTATAAAAACTTCTTGGGGTATGGTGAGAGCTTAGAGATCACTGATCCACTCTAATCAGTCCATGTCAACCTTGCCAATACATGTCCCCTTAATATCCACAATATTCCCAATGCCACCTCATCACCTTCAAGCTGGGTGGGGGCTTTTGCGCAAAACAATAATCCTGTGACCGTGTGTGCTTTGGAAAAGCTACCTCAAGGAGAAAGGAGCCTACATCCATAGTGTAGAAACTGATTACTTTGAGGAGATGAAACTTCAATATTGTTAAATAATGTCTCTAGTTTATTAATTTTAATACATGTCTGAATAGGTTACTGTCACAGTCAAGTCTAACAAGAAAAGATTTAATAACATAAAATATATTGTTTCTACTCCTCCTTTTCTACTACCAAATAAATCTTCCACATTTAGAAGGAATAAATAATAAATTTTTTACCTTTTTGTCAATGACTTCTTTGAAAGCAAATGGAAAAATGCAATCCTTTGGTTTAGAAACAACTGTGAGAAAGAAAAAATAAAAGATTCTAACACTCATCTTAGTCCAATTTCAGGTACACACATGCTGCATAATTCCAAATGAAAACTATCTAAACTTGAAACCAATTCCTCCCAATCCTTAAAGGATTAAGAGGGAAATATTCCTTTAGGTCTGGTCACTGGACCTCAAAAGGATAGTCAAGCACAGAATCCTAAAAACCTATAATTGTCAAAACTGCCTTGGCAAGTCATTTGCTCTTTATCTCTGCCAGAATGGAGAACTTGCAGAATTCTTTTTCTCCAAGGAAATTCCCCACCACTTTCACCACAAACTCTCATACAATGAAAAGTCATCATACAATGGAAGAATAGGTCTAACCTTAAAGTTAGAGAAAAGTTAGGGAAATAAAGATGAAAAAAGTTTCCCCTACTACAGTGAGTTTCATGCCATTCAGAGCAACCATTCACACAATGAGACACAGAGGTGAATAAAAGCAAGTTGAAATGAGCTAACAGCTGTTCTGTAAAACATGGAAACATGAATGGATTCAATATTCTTCCACATACTCCTCATCATTATTTTATTCCATGTATAATACGTATTATAGCTGCGGGGCAAAGTGTCAACTCTAATATTTCAGGCTCCTTTCTCTGCACATTTATTTCCTAATCCTACTTTCCTAACATCCAAGGGAAATGCTGCCCAAGTTTATCTCTGGTTCTGAGCTAGAAAGACCTGAGGCATACAGGGTAAAGTGTTATTCCTTTATTTTACTATAAAAATGCATATTTAACTAGTTAAGCTCTCAACACAGAGTATGTCAGAATCCTCCGGGGAGGCTGACTTATGCACAACTTTATACAAGAGATTCACATACTGAAATTTTATGCATAGCCTGACCCAACTCCAATTTACTAACAGTATAATGCCTCCTTGGCACCTTGCCTCTTCATACAAAAAGCTTTGGCCAGGCTGCAAGGGTGAGCTTTTGGAATTATACCATGAAAAGAAAATAGTTAAAGCATAAACTTGGTCTCATAATTAAAAAAAATACAAATGAAACAAAATTCCTTTATAATGCCCAATCCCAAAAGAATAACCACAGAATCACTGAAATTGGGCATTACATTATCCAACAGCCACCTCCTGCTCGTAAAACAAAATAACCCAGCTGGATAGGAGGCAACCAAAGCAATAAAGCACAGTTTCCAGAGTGGAAAAAAAAAAAAACAAAAACCCTGCTTTAACAATACACACTAACTACTCTTAAATCTTTCTTTTTTTATGGAGAAAACAAGTTACAGATCCAACAGCTGGAGATAAAATAAGAAAACTAAAATCAAGTCATTAGGAAACCAGCTTATAAAAATACATACCACAGAAATGTGACTGAAAGGGAGGCTGGGGGGGTGCTTTATCTAATGCAAAATGGTGATGGACCAAAGCTGCCACAGCAATAATCTGCAAAGAAAGCAGGAAAAAATTACTACTTCTCTTGCATTCTCACCAAACCCACTGAAAACATTAAGATACATTTTAGAACATTATCATCGCTTTTCACCTTTTTATTATGGAAGTATTTCAACTTTTAAAAAGGTACAGAGAGATGTAATGGGTCTTGGTGAATTAGAAGTCCAAGTTCAAGGAGAGACTATGGGAGAGTGGGAGCAGGGCACTCACACTCAGGACAGGAGCCTGCATGTCACCTTCAATGTGTCAAGTCAGAAAGCAGCCTCCATGGGATTTGCAGGCAAAGCCAGGACTGCAGCACTGAGGTGAGGTCACTGGCCCCATGGCTAAGCACCCACAGCGGTGATGTTGAGATGAATTTATCATCTGCTCACACTATGGGCATTTTTGATCTTCACCCTTTGAGAGGTCAAATTCTTTTCTTTTTTTTAATTTTTATTTTTCTTTTTATTATTTTTGTGTGACTGTACCGTCAAATCAGATCTGACTGGTACAGGAGGAGATTGTCCCTCCTTCCCCGGCAGAGCATCTGGTGGATTCGAACCGTGCGCCTCTGGAATTGTAGTTGCAGCTCCTTGCCACTAGGCCACCAGAGCTCCCCTAAATTCTTTTCTTTTTAAAAAAGATTTTTATTCTGCATCATGATTAGGTTATGGTGGAACCTAGAACAAACCCTATTACATTTAGCAAAAAACTGGATGAGTGCAAAAAAAAAAATATACATTAAACCCCTTTTGTTTGTCAAACACCTTACACAGACAGAAACTAAAATAACCTATTATATACTATTAATCATTTTAAAAACCTTTTCACGACCCAACTGTTTTCTGCTCTGAAGCTTTATTGCTACCAAGTGTTTGCAGTAAGAAAAGCCATGATGAAATCAAGGGCAAACAGTTTTTTGGGATTTTGTTTGTTTATTTTTCTACTAGTTTATTTACAAAATTCAAATAAAAATTAGAACAGATTCTTTAAATTTCCCTCACCCCTCCACCCATCAAATTGTACAACCCAATGATTAACCCCTTTCACCCTGTACATCCACATCCCTCTGCTTCCAGCCTCTCCCACCCCTCCTAGATCCTTATACTTATTCTACAATAACGGTTTTATACAATAGTTATCCTTATGTGACTGAGTTAGTTCACGCAGCAGAATACTCTCCAGTCCTTCCCAAGTTAGGCAATAATTTACAAAGATTTTGTTCCTGCATGCTGCATAGTATTCCATTGTGTGAATGTACCATAATTTCTCAATCCATTCGTTTGTGGTTGGACATCTGGGCTGTTTCCATGTTCTTGCAATGGTGAATAATGCTGCTATGAACACTGGTGTACAAATCTCACTTTGTGCCTCAGCTGTCATAATGTTCTCTGGGTATATTCCCAAGTAGTGGAATGGCTGGATCATTTGGAATTTCTATGCTCAGCTTTTTGAGGAAGCATCAAATTGCCTTCCTGAATAGCTGCACCATTTTACAATCCCACCAACAATGTGTAAGAGTTCCTTTCCAGCTACATTCTCTCCAGGATCTATTACTTGTTACCCTGTTAAACTTTGCCACTCTTACTGGAGTGGGATGGTACCTCATTGTAGTTTTGATTTGCATCTCTCTTACTGCCAGTGATTTGGAGCATTTCTTCATGCGTCTGTTTGCAATTCTAGTATCTTCCTCTGTGAGAATTCTTTCCATGTTTTTTTGAAGGGCAAACAGTTTTGAGGTAGTATGAGCTTTGATACAATTGTGTAAGACTCATATGTCTCAAATGTTGTTGTTGTTATGAGACATCAAGTCACTTGCGACTCACAATGACCCTATGTACAAGAACCCTAAATACTGCTCTATCCTATGCCAACCTGTCTCTGACACACTTACTCCCACCACCCTAATCACGGAATTGATCCATCTCATCGAGGTCTTCTTCTCCTGCGCTGTCCCTCCACTCTCCCAAACAGGATGTCCCTCTCCAAGGACCAGTCCCTCCTTGCAACATGCCCAAAGTATGTCAGACAAAGCTTCAGAATCCTTGACTCCAAGGAGCATTCTGGCTTCACCCACTCCAGGACAAACCTGTTTGTTCTCCTAGGAGTCCATAGTATATTCAACACTTTCTCCAGTACCACAGCTCAAAGGCATCAATTATCTTTTTATCATCCCTGGGCACTGTCCAGCTCTCCGATGCATAGCACATAACTGCAAACACTATAGCCCGGATCAAGCGCACCTTAGTCTCCAGCCTGACGTTGTTGCTCTTCAGTACTCTGGAGAGGTCCCTCACAGCTTACTTTCCCAATGTAATTCGTCTCTTGATTTCCTGGCTACGGGTACCAAGACTGTTGACTGTTGAGCCAAGTAAACTGAAACTATTAACTATCTCAATCTCTTCACCATCCACACTGACACTGTCAACTGGCCCAATGGTGAGAATCTTTGTTTTCTTGATGTTGAGCTTCAATCCATATTGAAGGTTGCAGTCCTTGACTTTCTGCAGCAAGTGCTTCAGGTCCTCCTCAGTTTCAGCAAGCAGGGTTGTGTCATCTGCATAATGCATGGTGTTGATCAAGCTTCCACCAATCTTGATGCCACATTCTTACTCATACAGCCCAGTGTCCCAGATGGTCTGTTCTGCATACAGATTAAAAACGTATGGAGACAGGACACATGCCTGGTGAACCCCCTTCCCAATTTTGAACCATGCATTGTCTCCTTGCTCTGTTCTGAAGACTGTCTCTTGGTCCAAGTATAGGTTTCGTATAATCACAATCAAAGGTTCTGGGATTCCCATTCTTCTCAGAGTCAGCCACAGCTTACTGTGATCCACAGTCAAAAGCCTCTGCATAGTCAACGAAGCACAGATTGACATTCCTCTAGTACTCTGCTTTCTGCCAAGATCCATCCATCTAACATTACCTGTCCCTAGTACCATGACCTCTTCTAAAATGTCTCAAATGTACATATACAAAAACTATCTCAAGATGGATCAAGCACCTAGGTATAAAACCTAAAACTACAAAGATCGTCAAAGAAAAATTGGGGCTGGGGAGCTCTGGTGGCCTAGTGGCAAGAAGCTGCACTGCAATCCCAGAGATAAGAGGTTCGAATCCACCAGATGCTCTGCCGGAGAAGGGGGGGCAATCTCCTCCTGTACCAGTCAGATCTGATTTGACGGTACACACACACACACACACAGAAAAAAAGAAAAATTGGGGCAAACTTAGGAGCCCTAATTAATGGCAGAAATAGACTACCAAATATAACTGAAAATGTACAATCAACAGAGGATAATTTAGATAATTGGGACTTCCTAAAAATTAAATTCTGATATGCATTAACAGATTTCTCCCAAAGAGTAAAAAGAACCTACAGACAGTGAGTATTTGGCAATGACAACTCTGACAAAGGACTCAACTCTAAAATTCACAGAAAATTCCTCTATCTCAAAGAGGAAAATACTACAAAATGAGCAGAGAGCATTAATTAATACGATGGCTAACAAATAGATGAAGAAAAGCTCAAGCTAATTAAATGTTATTGTTGTTAGATATCATATAGTCAGCTACAATTCATAGCAACCCTATGAACAAAATATCTGAACCCTGCCCTATCCTGTGCCATCTTAATCATCTCTGATATACTTCAGTCCATTGTTACAGTTAGTGTAACATCTTGTTAAAGGTCATCGTCTCTCTCACGGAACTTTTACCTTTCCAGGCATAACTATTTCCAATTGGCTATTATTGTTGTTATGCATCACTGAGTCAGAATCAACTCAAGTTGCCCCGCCAGTGGGTTTTATGAGGCAGTAAGTCACAAATCTCATAGGAGGAGACAGTGCATCTTTCTGCTGAAGGGCTGTTGGTGGATTTGAACTACATTCCTGCGGGTTGGTAGTACAACTCCTTACCAGTAAGTCAAGAGAGTTCAATTTGCTATTAGAGATAAAAATCAAAACAACGAGATCATCTCATTCTAGCAACAATGTACTTGTTGATATGTACCACCAATCTGGAACTGACTCATGTCATGACTCCAGTGGAGTGTCATAAGCAATAAATGACATAGAGTTGACTGTTCATCTTTTCCCATAGATCACTGTTGTTCCTATATACCTTCAAGTTAGAATCGAATTCTGAGCTGACCCCAGTGGGTTTTCAGAGGCAGTTAATCACACAAGAAGAGAATGCCCATCTTTCTCAAGCTCCTGACACAGAGCACCTCATGGATTCAAACTATGTGCCTTTAGGTTGTCAGTGCAACTCCTTACCACTAAGTCACCAGAGCGTCATAGCAGAGTTTAATAAGATAGCAAACAAATGCTGTCGAGGGTGTTAAAGTTTGGGGTTCTTATATATACACATGGTGCAATGGTGTAATCACTATAGACAGAAAGTCTGATACTTTCTTAGAAAGCTTAGAATAAAAATACCATTTGCTTCATCAACGCCACTACTAGATATATCAGTAAAGGAACAAGTGTTGCCAACAACACAGATACCTCAAGGTGAACGAAACGTCACCAGTATTGATATTTTAAGCCAGATATTCTTTGGGTTTTAGGTCTGGGGTTGTGAGGGTTTTTTGGGGAGGGAGGGGGTTCCTGGTTCATGTGCATTATAGGAGGTTTAGCTGCTTCCTGCTCTTCACCTACTAGATGCAAGGATCATTTCTCATACTCTTGCAGGGTGGCAGTCAAGAATGTCTCCAGACAATTCCAAATGTTCCGTAAAAAAGTACAATATTTTAAATATAGGTACTCAGGAATTTCTGCATGGCATAAATGGTTAAGAGCTGAACCTGTAACCAGGTACGTTGGTAGTTCAAACTCACTAGGGGGGAAGACAATTCTGAAAAGAAGGGGCAATAAGACATGAGTAATGCAAATAACAGGTTGATACAGAACATGTATGAGGGAATGAAGGAAGAAGAAAGTGGGGCAGGAGGAAATCTGTGTAAATGAATGAATGAAAAGCTAGTGAAATTTTTTTAAAGGTATCTCACGCAACTCTGGTGGCACAGTCTGTAAGGAGTTGCACAGATAACATAAAAGCAATGCCTCTCTGGTGGCTGGAACCCAGCAGTAACTCTGAGGGGAAAAAAAAGCAATCTGTTCCCCTGAGATTTATAGCATCCAAAATACCACTGGAGGGTCAGTTATGAGTCAGTTCTAACTCAACAGCAGAAAGTTTGCATTTAAGAAGTACTTCTGAATCCATTCCAAGGCAACAATAAGTATAATGACATTGTTTAAATTTTATATTTATAAACTATGCTGGAATCCAGTTTGGAAGTTGTCTGCAGCAGACAGATTCTACAGAGGGTTGTTTGCTGGTCCTGGTGAGGATTAGCATGGAATGTTGACTCACTAATGGGTGTGAAATGATGTGATTCGGCCTATTTAAAAACACATCTGGAAAACAACACAGAGCGCTGTTCACCTACTGCATAGAAAGTTATGCTACCAAGTCAAACGTGGGTGATTTTAATCTGCGGCACTCGGGCCTGATTTTAACTGATTTTGGTCAAACATTCTTCTAGGTCATATAGCCCTGGTCTGGGCATTGCTGTACAGAGATAACTCGTGGCTACACTGCGACACTGATGTGATAATGGTTACCCATGGAGGACAGTATTTGGTGGAGCTCCCCAATTAAAACAAGCTTGGAAGCAGGAGTGGCATCTACTTCCTAAATAGCTTGTCTCTGGAAACTATGAAAGTGGAGAAACAACAAAAGTTACACAAGTGTTCAGGTCTTTCATTCATAGGTTCGCTATGAGTCATCTACAACTCAATGGTACTTAACAACAACATATTAACTAGAAACTTATTATCTCATCTAATGTAATTCACAGTAATTAACCATCCAGGCAAGATTCAAAGTTTTGTGTTTCCTCAATTGTCTCCATTTTATTTGTCAAGTAAGGTAGGTCTATACTTTTCAACTGGCTGATATGCACAACCGTAAGTATCCCTGCTTACCTATTATTTCCTTGTCATTTACTCATTGAAGAGCCTCTGGATTCTATTTCTTGTATCCAAATGGTATCATTTACCATGTTATTCTCTTTGCTGTTACAGAGTACTATCAAATCCACTCCAACTCACAGAACCTCTGAACAATAAATCAAAATCTTGTCCCACTGCCTATAAATTCAGATCTGAAGGCTTGAGAAAATTTAGATGCCATATTTCTGGCAAGGTTATTTAAGTGTGAGACTTATTCTTCTATCAAAAAAATACATAATGGAAGAAAATGGAAACCTTATACACTGTTGGTAGGAGTGTAAAATGTTGCAACCACTATGGAAGGCAGTATGGCACTTTCTCAAAAAGTTGCAAATAGAAATACCACTTGACACAGCAATTCTGCTACTGGGAATAGACCCTAAAGAAACCAGAGCTGTCACCCAATCAGACATAGGCACACCCATGTTTACTGCGGCTTTGTTCACAATAGCAAAGAGTTAAAAACAATCCAAATGCACATCAACAAAGGAATGGCTAGAGAAGCTGTGGTATAGTCACACAATGTCATATTATGCAGCACTGAAAAGCAAAGAACTCATGAAATATATAAGTAACTATGGAGGACATTATGCAGAGTGAAATATCTCAGTCACAGAAAGACAAATACTGCATAATGCCACTGTTATAAAACAGGAGTGACATGGAGGTTGGGGGAAACTAAGAAAAGAGGGGTTAATAATGTACACAGCATTGAAACAGACAAAGGAGAGAACTGTATTACTGGCATGACGAGAGTCCAGAATAAGAACTGCATAGTAAAATGGTTGAGGTGGGAGTGGGGTCTATATAAAAATAGAAGAACTTTTTTCCAAAGAAAAAAGCAAACTGGGAGGGGGCAGGGAGGAAAATGTGCAACAATGAATGATCTTTATAAACTTTCATTAAAATCTCAATTTATAAGAAGAAAAAAAGCATTTAAGGTCTGTTTGTTGTTGTTGTTGTTGTGTGCCGTCAAGGAACTCATAGGGACTTGATGTACGATAGCCCTGAAACCTGCTCTATCCTGGGCTAACTTCACTGTCTCTGACACAGATACTCTCATTACCCCAGTCAATGCATCTCATCGAGGATCTCTTTCTCTCTCATGCTGTCCCTCCACTCCCCCAAACATGACATCCCTCTCCAAGGACTAGTCCCTCCTTGCACATGTCCATATCATTTCAGACACAGCTTCAGAATCCTTGCCTCCAAAGAGCAGCCTAGTTTCACCCTCTCCAGGACAAATCTGTTTGTTCTCCTGGCAGTCCATAGTACATTCAACACCACATCCAGCACCACAGCTCAAAGGCATCAATTCTCTTTTTATCATCCCTAGTCATTGTTCAGCTCTCTGACGTCTATCAAGCAAAAAATTTTAATTATACTAGCAATCACTGATTGTCACTGCCTAGAATCATTGTTTCACTGGATTGTAAAACAGTAATATTCAAGTTTTGTATTGTTCTTTATTAGCTGGAAATCCATGAAAAGACATTTGCTTTCCTGAATTATTTGATTACCTGAAGTACAGTAAGCTATTTGGAAAAATCAAAATAAATGCTTGATTAAATCCCTTTATTTACAAACTTCCAAAATAATGAATTTGTTCCCCAGCCTCCTTCATTAGTGGTCAATGTGCTGTAACTATTGTTTATAATATCAGTGTGCATGGCAATGAGGTTTTGAGTTTTGTGGACTTAGGAAGTTGATGAGTAAAAAAGTTTAACTGGAAATTAACCAAGCCTTTAGAACTGACGTAAATACAAAAGAATATGAAGAACAAAGCAACAGCCAAAAAAGGGAAAGACAGTAAATATTTCAACTTTTGCAAGCCTTATGGTTTGCATCATAATGAGAACTCTGCCATTGTAGTGCAAAAGCCACCACAGATCATCTTTAAAATATTCAGGAGCGGAAAAAATGGGGGAAACAAGGCAAAAATCTTGCAACTGCTGAGTACAAATAGCTTCAGTATTCAATTTACTATTGTATGTCTAATTAAGTTTCCCAAATTAAAAATACTTTTAAATAAAAATACAACAATTTTTGGACTCATGTACTTATAACTTGTTAGTCAAATTTGTGTCTTCTAGGTTGCAACACCCCCATGATACATCTTGAAGGATATGTACATGTACAGCCAAGCACAATCAATAAGAGTGCATCTGAATTCCAAACTCAATCTCCATAATAGTCTATGTGTTTCCTACTGCCAAAGGGGCCCTTTAGAGTAGTGAGAGAAGATCTTCACCCTGAAACCCACAGCGTCCCTTTTCAGCAGGAAGTAGCTAAGAGAATACGCCGTCCCCTTTTCCTTATGACTCAGGGTGAAGTCTCTCTCAGGGAGGAGTGATAGGGAATGGCAAAGGATGCACTGACAAAGAAGATTAATCAGAACTGGCTTTGACAAGCACTGTGGCATTTGGACAAGAACAAACTGGGAGGAGGGTAGAGAGAATAGTGCAACAATGAATGAGTGGAAGCCCAAAATCTCTGTAAATGTTTATGAAAATTAATAAAATACAATTATAGAAAAAAAAAATACAACAATTTAACTATTTTTTTTTTAAATCCAACACCATACTGAACTCACTCTTCAAAACAAAATTTGGAAAGAGTGAACTAGTAATCTTTTTTTTTCTCTTTAAATTTTATTTTGTTATTGTTGGTGAACATATATACAGTAAAACATACACCAATCCAACAATTTCTACTACAAGTACTATTTAGCTACACTGATTACATTCCTTGAGTTGTGCAACCAATCTTCTGAAATGCCTCTTCCGGTCTCTAAAATTCCTATCTTTTCAGTTACTAGTAAACATTTGATCCCATAGAAAACTTAAAAAAAAAAAAATCAACCCTCACACTCATTGCCAATAAGTCAGAACCTACCCTTAGCTGACCCTTCCGTGGGTTTCCATGGCTCTAAATCACACAGACTGCCCACCTTTCTCTCTCAGAGCTGCTGGTGGATTCCAGCCACTAGAGATGCAGTCTTTACATCAGCAGTGCAACTCCCTATGGACTATGTTTGCCATCAAAGCTCCCTTGATCCCATACAGACAGCTCTTTAAAAGGCATAATGCTCAAGGCAGATCTTTGTTACTGTTTAAATGAAACTACTGCTTGCTAAGAAGACTTCAAGGGATGTCTTTGGTTTCAGGTTTAAAGATTGTCTCAGGGGAATGATTCAACTACCTCTATCATTCCAGTTACTTCTAAATTAAGTTCATGAAGACTTAAAGTAAATTCCTATTTTTTCCCCCCTACAGAAACTTCCACTTGCAGAAAGTATTTCAGATTAAGTACTGCATCTTTAGGCACAGGTACAAAATCTTTCCAGTCGCTTTCTTTTTTAACACTTCCAAACCCAAGTAAGCCTTCCAGAACAGGAGAGAGCTTATTGTGAAGCCCTTACCTCATTCTGATGGGTCTTTGCATTCTGCATTGTCTTCATGCTAAAAGACAACACCACAAGTGGAGGAGGAGGCGGCCCAACATCTTTAATTACATTCACCAGTTCGGGTTTCAGAATCATTGCCTCAAATTTACACCAACTGACTGGCTGATTCAAGAGCTCTGGAAGAGAACAGATGTTCAATGGCTATTTATCAAAAAGGAACAACTAGCCCCACCGGCCCACTGGTCAGGTGATTGACCGCTAAGGAAAGACTCAGCAGTGTGAACCTAGTAGCTGCTCTGTGGGAGACAGAGGTTGCAGTTGGACCCTATTAAGCCATGGAAATCCTAAGCAGCAGTTCCACACTGTCCTATACAGTGTTGCTATGAGTTGGAATCAACCCAATGGAGAGTTTTTATGTGTTGGTTTCTTTTTTTAATGATCAACTGAAAAAAATCTTCAATTCTCTGTTTGCACATAGGTTCAAAGAATCCAGATATCAAAATAATTTTTTAAAAAGAACATAGGTTCAAAGAATCCAGATATCAAAATAATTTTTTAAAAAGAACATAGGTTCAAAGAATCCAGATATCAAAATAATTTTTTAAAAAGAACATAGGTTCAAAGAATCCAGAACCCAAAATAATTTTTTAAAAACTGGCTTACATGAATCATAAAATATTTTTTTTTGAATCATAAAATATTTTGAGGATTCATGATTATGAAACAAATTATCACAGATACAAGTGCTGAAAAGCATCAGGGCACAGGCAAAGGGGCACTATGCACATAAAGCATAAAGTTTCTCTTCTTTAAAGGCCAGTGAATCACTGTGTACAACAGCTGGCTACATTAGCCAGAGCAGAGATACAGGAGAAAACACAGTAACTAAAGCCTCCCTCAGATTAAAGTGCCAGGCATTACAGGGACAGGGTGATTCCAAACGTATTCCCTAGACTACATCTGGCTTACGTGGACTTTTAACTTCAAGCCAGCAAGGTCCTTTGATCTTTCTGTTCATCAAGAACAGTTCCAAGCTAGATGTATTGGTCCCAAACACATGCGAAAAAGTTTCTCCTTTCAAATCCTGAGGAAGTTGTGGCAATTCCGCCTGAAAAGGGAAGGGGGGAGAAAAAGAAATCTTTTTTTTTATAAAACTATTACTTCACATTTTCCAAAGTCTGTATTTGAAATAAACAAAAGCTTCTCTATGAAGCACCGAGAAATCCCTTTGATATATATGAAATGTAATTTGCCACAAATGAAATCCAAAACAATTCACAGTAGGAAACAAAAACAATTCACAATGACAAAATAATGCATCTTGATGACATCCATTAGAAGAAAAATAGGCCAAGAAGCTCCCCCAAAAGAGAATTTCTGACCGGAGCGGTGCATGCTTTACTGATGAAGAATCATCAAGTAAGTGGCACTCCATTAGAGGGAAGCAAGCAATAGAGTGGGACGCATTCAAAATGCTTCTGTGGTACTTTTCAGCCCCATTGCCAGAAACATTTAAGTTTCCCTTTTCTAGCACTGGGAGATCAAAACACTAGAATAGAGGTAAAAAGAGGCTAAGGCCAGTTAATTAACATCCCACGGCAATGACCTTGCCAGTCACAGGAGAAGGAGCAGCACGGTGGCAAATTCAACTGACGCTCCTCTCTCACCTTTGCCACTGCTCACGAGGGACACTTCAACAGATAATGATATTCACCTTCATCATGTGGCATCCGTTCCACTTGACAAACAGTCATGCTGTTTCAACTTATTTATTAAAAGATGCTTTACTTGATACTTGAAAGCAGAGAAAAGCAATAGAACTTGAAGTCCATATACTTAAATTAATTTTATCCATTTCAATTATTCATCACTCTAACTCCACCTCAATGAACTGTGGGCTTGAGGAGCCCTGCCAATACTCCTAATTGAAAACCAGTTGAAAGTTCAAAACTAGAGAAATGTCATTCTCAACCCCAAACCAGTAATTTTCTTTGTGTGACTTACCGAGTATCTAACTTCCAAGTACTCAGATTTTTCTGGAACATCGGGTATCTCAAAAGCATAGTTCTTTTCCACTATCTAAGTACGAAGATATTTAAAAATTGTTAAGACAAAATAACTTTCACAAATTAAAATACCAAGCATTATATACAAATTGTTTGCTCCTGTATTTAATTATTACAAATGAGCATCCTTATAGAGTATAAAACTGAATAAATTCAAAAAGCACCCTTTTAATTTAGATTAAAACATCTAATGACTTATCCTGATAATAGAAAACATAGAAATACTTATAAGCAAAGAGTGGCAGTAACAGATTAAAATGTTTAAAAATGTTAAAGTGCTTGCTACTATTTGATATTAAGCAACTCTTCCTAGAAAAATAAGAATTAGCATCATGAATAACTACATGCCATGTTCTAATGATTTAAGATGAATCAACTGATTTAGCCTTTCCAGCTAACTTTTTAATTCTTAACAGAGAGAAACACGCAGAGAGAGATCACTTAGAACCTCTCCAAGGTTCTGTTAGTAAGTGGCAGGGTTCCAGGCCACCCACTACCTGTGTGTTCTTCACCAAACCAAACCATAACAGAAGTTCTAGAGGTTGAAAAACTGTCTCTTGATCAATCTGAGTCTCCTTTTATTAAAATCACTATTGCTAGCTACTAGTGGGCTACATTAACTCAAAATTACAGCCAGAGGCATCAACTATCTAAATTCAAGACTATTTATCTTATATACAACACGAAGAAAAGATTTTCCCCCTATTAGAAATAGTCTTGTTACTCTTGACTTTTTTTTTACTCCTGACTTTTTAAAGATAAAAATTTTAGTTAACTTTCTACAAAGATAACTTGGCAATTACTAATATAAAAATCATCGGAACAGTTTCCTCTCCATTTTAGAGTAAGAGTAGAAGAGGAAACTACTTGCTAAGAGTTATCCTCCTATTCAAGCTAGTGAGCATGACCACTATGGAAGGCAGTCTACAATTTCCTCAAAAAACTGGAAAAAAAACCCATTTGATTCAGTTATTCCACTAACTGGAAATATTCCCTAGAGAAACAGATGTATGCATAACTATGGTTCACTGCAGCATTATTATTATTATAGCAAAAAGACGGAATCAGCCAAAGTGCCTATCCACAAATTAATGGACAGAGAAATTGTGGTACAGTCACACAATGGTGTATTACACAGCATGGAAAAACAATGACGAGCATGTGAAAAACTCCACAACATGGATGAGTCAAGAGACTATTATGTTGAGTGAAATAACTCAGTTACAAAAGAAAAACTTCTATAATCACTTTGTTGTGTGTGTTGACTGCCACAGGGTCGAGTATGACCCTATGAACAAAAGGCCTGAATCCTTTTTATAACTATTGTCATTTATCAAAGTTATACTGTTGGTTATAGAAGGGATGGTGGGGAGAGCAGGAAATAATGGGCAGCTAGTGAACACTATATATTGGAATTGGTGAAAAGCAGGTCAATTTGAAATGAATGGACCATCAGACATTATATGTATCACAATTAACAATCTGGAAAAGGAAATGCCTTACTGATTAAGTGGAGGGAATTAATGAAAGGTTTACATACAGTTAAGAAACAACTGTGGAGGGTATCTGATGTTGTAAGACAAAGTATATATTAATGATTAACTGAAAATCAGTCACAAAAACTTGATAAATATTATTTGTAAACATAAGCAGTCTGACATATTTTTATAAATCTAAAATACTGTTTTACAATTGTGTCTCCAGAATTTCCATTCCATGAATTATAGGCAAACAGGTACACTGTCAATAATCAATTAACATTTGGCTGCATCCAGAAACGATCAACAATAACCAGACCTAGAAAAGGTTCAACATCAAATACAAACCTTGGACTTGAATTTCATAAGTCTATATTTTGCTGCTATTTTCTCATCAAATTCTTCATAAACATCCTTCATTGTAACTGGAATTCCAGTTTCTTTCCCTGTATTAAGATCAATTTTCTGTTCTCCCATGGAGAGGAAAAGAAAGAAGGGAAAAAGAGAATGTGTACATAAGATCATGTCAATCACCAAAAATCAAGTCTAAAGTAATTTTCCTGTTCACTCATTGAAACTTTATATAATACAATCTTTTGTCAGTGTAATTCAGTGATACTAGGGGAAGGCTTAATTCCTGTATTATGTAAGTTCAAAGACACACAGATCAAAATAATGTACTACAGTCAAACTCAATGCCTAATTCTTCCCAATGACATTATAAATCAGAGATAATCAGTTCTAGCAAACAGGAGAATAAGTATTACATCTCCTGATCAAAATGTGTCACAGTTCAATTTAGCCAGGGAGAAGATGGGGTTAGAAGGAGAGAAAGGATGTTAAGTCCCACTAAAGAAGGAGTAAGGGAGCTCTGGTGACCTAATGGTAAGAGGCTGCACTGAAATCCCAAAGACATGAGGTTCACATCCACCAGCTACTCTGAGGGAGAGGACTGGGTAAACTCCTCCTGTGCTATTTATTGCCTCTGAAAATCCACTGGAGGCTCAGCTAAGATTTGGTTCCACCTCAATGACATACAACAATGACAAAGAAGGAGCCAAGTGGCACTGGCTTTGTTCGGTGGCTAGAGGAAATGGTACTGCCGCCTATGTGATGCAAGTATGAAAACTGGGCCAAAATGCGCTGTCACATTTGACAGTCATATTTGTTCAACCTCAATTACGGGAATGAGGGACAGTGGAAGAAATAGCACTATGTACCAAAACTCAGACACTTTTACACAAGTCTTTTACAAGTTGGAAGACTGAATTTTCCCAGCTTCTACTATAGTTTCTACAGGAAACCTGATAGTACATGCCATGGTTAAACCACTTAGCTAAAACCAAGTCAGTGGTTGGAACCCCCAGTGACTCCATTAGAGAAGAGACGTGGCAGTCTGCTTCCATGAAGATTTCAGCCTAGGGAGTCTCTTAGGCCAGGTCTACTCTCTTCCTAAGGGGCAATATGAGTCAGAAGTAACTCACTGACAAATGGGGTTGTTGGCTTGGGATCAGAGATGCTCACAATCAGTGAAACTGTCTTTCAGAGGGGGAAGCATCAGATGCGTGGGTGATTTACAGCTTTTTGTAGGATAGGGCTAGTGGAAGAACACTAGAAGTTAATCACTAACCATTTCACGAGGCAGGAAGTAGAGTGTTCGCTCAATGTTTTTGACCATGACACAACAGCTCACATGGGTTCTGGCTGATTCAACCAAAACTTTGCCAAACAGAAATACAACACCTGAAGGACAAAATGAAAACCAGAAAAAAAAAACAAAACACCATTTCCATTACCTCAAATTAAAGAAAGATTAAAATAGTCCACTGGACATACTTAAAACATGTATCTATCCATAACTCATTACTGATAGTAAACTTATATTTGCTTCCTACTTCCCAAGACCTATTTCTTTCATCATTATTTATGCCACAGGGGTAAAGTTTGTGACCTTTAGGAGGACACAAAACAGGATGATTCTCCAATTGGTATAGGAAACATATTCCCTAAAACCACAATTACCTAGATTAAGAGAAAGAAAACAGTAAGTTATTCACCAATAAATCTCATATCTAAATTTCCTATGAGAACTTAAAAATCTGAAAATACTAAATTCCTTCTTTGTCCTTTTTAATATTTTCTTTTAATAACTAGCATCTGTCTATTAGGTTAATTATTGAGCATCAGTTACTTCATGTATGTAGAATTGAGTTAGGATAACAATTTGCTCACATACCTTAATGTATAGAGTTCTAATTTTTTTTAATCTTCTAAAGTTCTATCATTTTCCTCTATTTTATCCTCTCTGATAAAAAAGTTCCTCAAGGTATCTGACTAGGTGCTCCAGTGTTCCTTCCTCCTCCATTTCAATTTAAACAGGTTTGCTAATCAAAGCAACAGACACTCTCCTTTTGAGATTCCTACATAATATACACCATAAAGTAGAAACACTACGTTCTAGACATCAAGACATGGTTCATGAAAATTAACCAAGAGCTCCAAATACTTAATAGCCAACCCAAGAAATGTGGCCACTTTGCAAAATCTTGGGTCCTGTGAATAATTAGACAGCAGGAACTCAGCATAGCCAATCAGCACAGCCACTTATCTGAGGCACTAAGAAAATTCTGGCACATGCAAAGGCTACTGTTCACAAGGGCGATTACCCCAGTTTCGTAAGCCAGCTCATCAGTGCTTTCTTTTTGTCATTTGTCCTGATAGAAATAAGAGCATCTAAGAATTTTCATTTCTGCAGATGATTAACATTCTTAAGAGTTGTATGATTTTTCAGCTGTGGGGAGACTGAGGGGGAGTGGGGAAGAGGGGAAGGGAGGACTGTGGGGAATGATTGAAAAAAACAAACACAGAAGCTCAGAAAATTAAAAGTCAACCCTCACAACAGTTAAAGATGGAAAAAACAAAATTCCATGCAAAGAAAAATAAAGACCCTAATATTGGATTCAAAGATTCAAAGAGCTCATTTTATAGTCAAACTAATATCACACTTCATGTAACACATTTGACACTGTTTATGCCTCATTTGCCACAAAAAGATCATGGTAAACAAAGATTACATTCCCCTCAAAGTTACAAGCTGAAACCAGGTGCAGTCAGGATTATTCAACCTTGAAAAAGTCATAATGAAGACAGGATATCTTCCCATATGCAAAGAGTGAGATTCCTTTCATAATTATGGAGCATTCAGCAACAACTGAGTGACTGAGAATCTCTAAGAAAGTGAGAAACAATAACAGGGTCTTTGGGAGTACTTAGTTTATATTAGCAGCACTGATTTCACCAAGGCTCAATGATCATTACCTGCTATCATGATGAAACTGTTCAACCCTCTGAGATTGAAGGACTTTTAAAAAAAAAAAACAAAACACAAAAAGACACCAAACTGTCTTATTTAACCGGTTGGCATCAACCACAGAGAGAAAGGTACGATGACAGAGGACACAACTTGAGAAGTGCCATGTAACAGCAGAAAGGACTGAGGGTAAGAAACATTGAGCTCTACCATGAATGAGCTGGCCACTTTCTTTTTTGAACTTCAGTTTCCTCAGCAGAACCCTTCCACGAGGGAAGCCTGGGTTTAATTTCTAGCCAATGTGCCTCATCACTATGGCACTGAACAGGCTTCATTCGCTCTCACAAATAAGACCATCTCAAGAAAGGCCTGGCAATCTACTTCCAAAAATAAGTCAGTGAAAATCCCTATGGATCACAGTGGTCCAGTCTGACACAAATCATGGGAATCGAGTTTTACTGACATATAAAGAAACTACCATCAGTGAACGCAGTCTTCAGGAAAGCACTTGGAAAAGTACACAGCTTATATCTCCTCAGGTCCAAAAAGGATCTAAACAAAGGCAACTCTAGTTAAATGCACTACTGTGTTTTATATTAACATGAGAGACGTTACTGTGCCCAATTCTAGTGTGCAGGAGAGTTTAAAGAATAAAAGGACAGTGGGCGATCTCTTGCCTTTTTGTGAGTCAAGAATTCACAGCACTGGCTCACTAAAGTGATCAGAAATCATTCTGTGTTTCTCTTTCCCCCTAACCGTCACAACCAATCTATCAAGTTCATGTCATCTAGCACACAACAGATGTTCAAAAAAAATTGCTAAACAAAGGAATAAATTAATGACTAATTCCATTTGAAGTGGATTCCTACAACTTTAGAAACAACAATGGTAAGGTACAAAACCACATAATTTTTGGAAGAGGCATCTTTAAGGAAAAATGACCTGACCGTTTCTATCAGAACAGCTTACGCACTTAAAATGAACGGATCCTGCTCTCTACGCACCAATGTGAGAACAGTCATCAAAGGCATATGGTTAGCTTATCCATGATTACCTGGTTGGTTGAACTGATCTTCATAAGCATCCAGCCAGTAAAATTGCAACACTTGTTCTTCATCTCCTCCTTTTACCAATGGAAGGTGACTGGAATCCACTTGAACTTCCTGAGCTGAGATACAGCTTTCATCTTCCTGATCAATGTCCCAACAAGAGACATCTGGGAGAGAATATTCTCTGCAGAAATCACATTGTTAAAAAATCTTTCACGATCGAACACAACAACTGTAGCACTATTTATTGGAAAAGTCATCAAATGCTTACAAGTGTGTCACGGTCTCTTTCTCAGGATCCGCTGCGTGGTTCAGCCCCTCCACTGGTTCACTCTTTTGGTCCCTAATCTCAGCAGCCACGGGCTCCACGGTTTCCTCCTCAACTTCCATGGGCTCATCAAAATCGCCATCTTCAAAACCCATTGCCCCTTCCGCCTCTTTGTCTTCTATACATGAGGCCTTCAACTTCTCCCCTGTAGGCATCACATATTCACATAATGGACTCTTGTTATGGAGGACAAAGGATTCCCCCACATTAAAACAGTAGCTCTTTTCCTAATTCATATCGGCATGTCAATACTAATATCTACATTGGATTTTTTTTCTTCAAGTTTATGGCCAAGAATTGCCATCTTTCACTTAACTTTGCCATCACAATGCCTTCAAAGCTTCTGCCATTTCCACCTTAACAAGGCTTCCTTTTATGACAGCACTCTGCAGCTGCTCAACATCCACGGACACCAGGCTTACCAGTAAATTCAGCATGTTTCAGATGAACAGGAGTTGCTAGAGCTTCCTTCTGTGCAACAGGGGAAGCAGTTGATCCTGAAGGAACTGCCTGTAAACATTTTTAAATGTTTAGTCAGATGGGCGTGAATACTAAAAACATTTAACTGTCCTGCCCTGACCAGAGATAATGGTTCCCATTTATAAAAGGATTTTCTGCATTAATGTAACAGCTTCAATTATTTTAATGCTACACAGGTTTACCAAAAAATATGCTTCTGAGAGGAAAATTATTGCACTTAGCACAGCTGTAAAACTGGTAATAAATACATACTAGTAACTACAAAATTTACTATGAAGGAAAGGAGGCACATGTACATATTTATGAAGAAGAGGAAACACTACAATAAAATGAAGTTCCAAGTTCAAACAAAAGTCAAAAATAAAAAGGCATTTTGCTCATGTAGGAAAAAAATAACTATTAAGATACCATAGAAATCAAGACTGCAGGTATTTCTACACACTTTACCTTGGGGGTGTGCAAAGAGAATGGATTCCTTGAACCTCCAGTCAATTTTTTCTTCTTCTGTACTATTACAGGTGGTAGAATGATTGGAGATTTCTAAAAGGGAGGGCAAGACAGACATTCACTGCCATGCTTAGTTTACCACAAGACAGAAAAAGTAGAGTTCTTTACCCAATGAAGTCCAGTAAGTAATTTTTTCCCCTTCCATGCTCCCCCTACAAATCTATGTTCATGTGCTGTGGTTACCATAACAACAATACTACAGACTCACTAGAAAATCAGAATACATACTGAATCCACCCTAAGCATTTTTTTTTATAACATACACTTTTCACTTGCCTCTCCAGAATCACATTTTTAAAAAACTGTCAAGACAGAACTACATGGTGTTGGTTATAGTAGTTTTCATCAATGGTCACTGAGAAAAAAATAAGACTTGTACGCAAGAGCACCAGTCAAATTTCAAATTCAGGGCACAGCTTACTGGCTCTTCCTTCCCTTCCCCTCAGGATTCAGGACAAGGATTTCATAGAGACTTCACTCTATTTAGGGGAACATTCATTCCTGCAACCCAACACAAGCAGTGTGTATTCACAGAACTGACTCCTGTGGAGATTCTTACTACTTCAAACAGAACACCCCAAAAGCCCTAACTACAGAATCACACAGCTTGTAACAGCTGCAAACTATGCAGCTAATATGGCAAGAAGAAACCAACTGGTAGATTCCCTCTCTGATCTGGTGGTAATATCACTGGACTTTTTTCCATTCTATAAAGTCTTGCTTTATAATTACTGAATTGTCTCTTTTTGTTGTTGCTGATTGCTTTCAAGTCAAGCACGACTCATAGCGACCCTATGAACACAAGGCCTGAAGCCCCTCTATAACTATCGACATTTATCAAAGTTCTTAGAGTTTCCAGAGGCATGTTTTCTAGGAAGTGAATGCCATTCCTGCTTCCAAAGAATTTTCTCTTAGGCCTCTGCATATGTTACAGCTCCCAAAGAGAGACTCACCTCAGTGCTCAGATCCTGCAGGAGGTCGCCTAGCAAATCATCCTTGGACAAGTCAACAGCTTTCTACAAATTATAAAGGAAGGCAGAATGAGAAAGCATTGCCCTTAAAATGTTTACCCAAGCCACAAATCCATGAAAAGAAGAACCTAACTGGTCAGTACTTGCCTCTTCCTTACTCACTCTAAATGCTAATCTAGTCACAGATTTTTAACAACTGCTGCATAGATGTAACCCCTAAATCTACAGTTTCTGCTCTCTCCATTTACATAATTTACCGTAATTCTCTTGTTAATTATAAAAATGAAACACATTGTCAAGTCAGCTTTTCTGTTCTTTCTTTCTTTCCCCCTCCTTCTTTCCAATGACAGAAGTGCTGAAATTCATCCAGAAATCTACAAACAACTTAAGAGACCAAGTTGGAAAAACATTTCTTATTTACATTTGTATTGAGCACCATTATTTAAAAATGAATGAGAGCTCCGGTCATCTAGTCTGTAAGGTGTTGCACTGCTAACCAAAGTCTTTATACTAATTTCAAACAGTGAAAGGCAAAATACAGGCAAACTATGAAACTCACATCTGTTGTTTTCTTCCCAGCATTAGCAATGAACATAGACTTAATATCGTTTGGTTTTGTCACTGCAGCCTTCTTTACACTCTTCTTGTCTTTGTTCAGTGCCCTGTTACTTTTTCCTGTTGGAACACACATTATTTAGAAATGTATACCATCAAAACTCAAAATGAAGAAAGTTGTGTGAAAGATGTATTTATAACAACACATACAACCAAAACCATTATGAACTGTCATTTCTTGGTTTATTTCATTTCAGGTTCTTGTTTTCACAGAATATCCAAGTGAATTGGTCCATTTAGTGTCCCTGTTTACGTCTTGGCTCATTGTGTAATACCTGAGGTCTTAACAACTCACAATCAGTCTAAAAGGGCCCAACAACTGGTATCTATTCACCTGAAGTCAAAGCCACCAAGGAAGGAGTCAGGAATGTGTTCTTTAAAAACTTTGCTTTCTGCCATGAGACCAGAAGAACTAGATAGAGCTCTGCAGCCATCGCAGAATATGTGAGCAATGATTCTACAGAAGAATCCTGATCAAAAGGAGAAAAATTTGAACAGAATTTCAAATTCTCATAGACTTCAGACTTCCTGGAACAACAAAAGGTGTTTCCCTGAAACAACCTCAAGAGAATCTTCAGACCTTAAACCAAAAATATTCCCTGAAATCGTTTTAAAAATTGAACAATTTATTGAAAGATGTCTTCCTTATCAATGAGGATTACTGATAGAGAGTTGATGGGATTTGTTTCTATAGATTTATTTTTATGTGCAGAACTTTGTAATAAAAAAGATACTGTGAAAACATTTTTACCATCTTTATGAAACTTGAGAAAATTTCCTTAACAGGAATTTGTTTATGAAACATTAAACTGTTTTTATCATTCAAAAAAATAAATGAATGGCTTACTTAAGCTAGGAAAAGAGACATACCTATATTGCATTAAATTGACCACAGCAACGTAAATGATCAGAAAAAGCAACTGAAAAGATCCTAGGGGTCAAATCCATCAGATGCTCTGCTAGAGAAGGAAGGGCAAGCTCCTTCTGTACCAGTCAGATCCAATTTGACAGTACAAACATACACAAAATAATAAAAATAATTTGAAAAAAAAACACATCTTCTATTAAAAAAGACATCTTAGGGGACAATGAATTTATTTACTTAAGTGAAAGGGAATGAAAATACGCAGTGGTTGACTGGACACTGTCATTAAGTATATTTATTAATTATAATAAATGTTATAAAGTAAAATGTGTATCA